CTTTTTTCTTATGTGGTGCTGAGGAGTCGAACTGAGGGCCTCAGGCATGCAAGGCAAGCGCTCTACCACTGAGCCACCTTCCCAGCCCTCCACTAGTACTTTCTATGTCAGTGGTTCTCAGTCAGGGATAGTTTTGCTGCCTGAGGACATTGACAGTGTCTGGACGCATTTCTCATTGTCAAGACAAGGGTTGGATGGAACTTCAAGTGGCATCTAGTGAGTAGAAGCAGGAATACTGCCCAACATCCTACAATGCAATTATCTGTCCCAAATATCAATAGTGTGAAAGTTTGATATACATTGTGTAGTATAAATAGTGGTTTTAAAATAATGATTAAGTCAGGTGCTGGTGGCTCACATCTGTAATCCTAGCTACTCAGGATCTGAGGATCATGGTTCAAAGCCAGCCCAGGCAGGAAAGTCTTATTTCCAATTAACCACAGAAAACTGGAAGTGGCACTGTGGCTCAACTGGTAGAGGGCTTTCCTTTCTTCAGAACTCAGTGACAGTGTCCAGGCCCAGAGTTCAAGCCCCAGGACCAACAAAAAAGAAAAAGAAAAAAGAAAAAAAAAGATTAAATCTTAATCCTTGTTTTCAAGGACCAAATTAAATATCATATGTGATCTTTAATGTGATAAGGGATTTAAAGAAATAAATGCTCTCTAGGCATACAAATGATCTATAGAATATCTGACTTGAAAAGGCTAACAGGAGAAAAATGGCAAGAAAATCACAGTTCAATTGAAGTCTTGAAAGATACAGCCAAAATGAGGGAAAAGAATTTCTACTTGCAAGCCAAGTGCTGATGGCTCATTCCTGTTCAGGAGGCTGATATCTGAGGATCCTGGCTCAAAGCCATAAAATTTATCTCCAATTAACCACTCAAAAACCAGAAGTGAAGCTGTGGCTCAAAGTGGTAGAGCATAAGACTTGAGCACAAAGTAGGCCCAGGGACAGTACCGAGGCCCTGAGTTCAAGCCCTACAACCAACAAAAATATAAAAATAAAAAATTCTACTAAATATGAAGAAGCCTTGAGACAAGAGATATAGTACATGTTAAGAGTTCAGCTGATTTGTTTGGTTGGTGATATGACAGAAGACCAAAGTATTGTCATCAAAGGGCACAGGACACCATACTATAAAGTTTATGTATTATTCAAGATTTTGGTGAGAGCATTGAAAAATTTCAAGGGTCATAACCAAAGCTTAGTTCTAGAAGAATAACATAGGGCACCACTAGAAAACAGAGGATGAAGCCTTCAGACAGGGGCAGAGGAACTGTAATCAAGGTCAATGCTAACAAGAGTATGAGCAAGACCTGTGGAGTTTCAAGAGAAAGAGTTTAATAGATGTTATGTTACAATTAATGAATTGTTAAGTAAACTGTGCAAATAATTATGGTAGATCAGAGAAAAATGATTATGCACAATTGGGTACTTCAGAAATATTTGAGAGCAGTAACAGCAGTAATGGGTACAAGGTAGGAAGTATAATACCTTCAATATGTGAGAAGAGTGTAACACCAACTGCTTCTAGATATGGCTTTAAACCTGTTTGACCTCAACAAGGTCCATTTATAGAGTAATGGTAATGACCTTGAAAGACAGACTATGAGTTAATTATAGAAGGTTTTGACTAGCCGGGAGCTGGTGGCTCAAACCTGTAAACCTAGCTACTCAGGAGGCTGAGATCTGAGGATTGCGGTTCAAAGCCAGCCAGGGCAAGAAAGACTGTGAGACTCCTATCTCCAATAAACCACCAAAAAACCGGAAGTGGCGCTGTAGCTCAAGTGGTAGAGCACTTGCCTGAGCTGAAGAGCTGAGGGACAGTGCCCAGGCCCAGAGTTCAAGCCCTAGGACTGACCAAAAAAAAAAAAAAAAAAGAAGGTTTTAGTTTACGGGAAGATGCTTGGACTTTAATTTTCCAGACAGTAGGGAGCTTATGATAAATTTTGAGCAAGGAAATAGCATGAATACAGGATACTTCTACTACTACTTCTACTATTACTACTCCTACTCCTACTCTACCATATGACATATGTGCTACCTTGTATTGTAGTCTGTTAATTCCTAAACACAGGACTGAAGTTTATCTAAGGGTATTCAATAAATACTTGTTGATTGATTGAATCATTTTGTCAAGGAACCATTCTTCCATTATGTGAGTAATATCTATTTATCAATAAATTTGAAGTTTGAATAATGGATTTTCTTAAAACATGACCTATCGAGTTAGAGCTGGTTCACATTTTCCTGTGAAAAGACAAATGATAAAATTTCACGTTTTGTGAAACAGGTAACCTCAAGTTGGTAGCCTAAACTGACCATTTTCACGTACATCAAAGAAACTAGAAAATGCTATAAATTAATACTTGTTTTCTGGAGACCTGGATATTAGGTATTTATATCATTTCCCACCTGCCCTCACTTCTGTGTCCCATATTCAACTATTATTTAAGTTACTTGAGAGTAACTTTTTATTATCTTCAGTATTGTTCAATGTCTGTAACTGGGTGAAATATGTCCTTCTAATTATTATCAGAGCAACCATTTAATAAAACCATTCAGAAAAATACACCACAAGTACACATCTAGATAAGGAGTTGGCAAACTTGCATTTGGTGGCCAAATCAGATCCCATGCCTGTTTTTGTTTTGTAAGTGAAGTTTTCAGTAAGCTCAGACAGACTTATTATCAATGATAAGTATTGCTTTGTGGTACAAGTGCACAACTGAGTGTTTTGGACAGAGATCTTATGGCCCACTGAGCCCACAATATTGATTACCTAGCTCTTAGAGAAAGTTTTCAAATCCCTAATCTGGACTATGCCTACCTCATCCTTATAGTTCCTTACAGGTTAAAAATGTGTCTAAAGGGCTGGGAAGGTGGCTCAGTGGTAGAGCGCTTGCCTTGCATGCCTGAGGCCCTGGGTTTGATTCGTCAGCACCACATAAGCAAAAAGAAAAAAAAAAGCCAGAAGTGGCGCTGTGGCTCAAGTGGTAGAGCACTAGCCTTGAGCTGAAGAGCTGAGGGGCAGCGCCCAGGCCCAGAGTTCAGGCCCACGACCGGACCAAAAAAAAAAAAAAGTATCTAAAATGTGCCATAACGGGTAATTATGCTGTAACTTCTTCCAGATAAACTATATTATTTGATAAGTTTCTCCTATATCAGAAAAATTTTGAAATTAATGTGGACACATAATTCAAACAATTCTATAGTGCAGGATTTTATTGTATGCCCACAAATATACCTACAGGATTCACCCGAGCACAGAGACATCAGATCTCTAAAAGAGAGGGAGTAGCCAAGAACTGGTGGCTCATGTGTGTAATCCTATTCAGGAAGCCGGGATCTGAGGATCTGTTTCAAAGCCAGCCAGGGCAGAAAATTACAGTGAGACTTTTATTTCCAGTTAGCCAGCAAAAAGATGAAAGTGGAGGTGTAGCTCCAGTAGTAGAGCACTAGCCTTGAGTTTGAAAAGGCCACCTGAGTTCAAGTCTCAGTACAGGTGAAAGCGAGAGGACAGAAAGAAGAGAAAGAATGAAGGGGGGAGGTAGAGAGGGAGGGAGAGGGAGAGGAGAGAGAGAAATTATGATATCAAAAAATTGTAAGTTAGCGGTAGGGGAAAGGTAATTGTAGGTAGAGGAAGCAGCCTAGGCATAGCATGCAGGCTAGAAATCAGGCAACAGGGAACTAGTGAAGTTTACGAGATTTTATTTGAAAGAAAACTCCAAATGATTGTTTATTCGTGGTGACACTTTCCACTTCGAAAAGTAATGATTGCTTCACTTCTAGATACAACCTCTCTTTCAACAGAGGGCTTGGGTTATTTCTTCATGTTAGTGAATGATGCTGGCAGGAATTTAGTGATATCAAGTAAGGTCTATATGCAGTTTCTACCTTAAGAGAGCGCTTGACCCAGATTCCAAGGGGTTCTGGTTAAAAAAGTAGTGTTTATGCAACAGTAGTCAATCCTGGGACAGGATTAAATGGCTTAAGAGTAAAAATTTGGAATGTCTTTGCATATCTGGGTCACAGCAGGATGTCAGGGTTTATGTTTATGCAATACTGGTTAATATTATCATAGTCGGTTATATAGCTTCGCAAGTCATCTTTAAAAACAAACGATGGTGTCTTTTCCAACATAGAATTCGCAAGTGAGATAATTAACTTTCAGTTCCTTATCTGTAGCTATCCATTGGTTGCCATCCCGTTACAAAGTGAATACCTCAGCTAGGCTACATTGGGTTGGCTGTATTCTCCCAGACACCCCTTTTCTGTCCCCCTACAATATGGGAGACAATGTGGAGACACCAGGGCAGGGTGGAGGGGAGGGGGGAGGAAACGACAGGGAGCTCCCGATCAACAACAGGCAGTCAAAAAAGGTTGCCAGCTCTTCTGACTAAACCGGTCTGACCCGAGGCGGGAGGATCTGACCAGAGGCAAGCGATGACTCGGCGAGATTGCCGGGGTGATCCTGGGCCTTCACTCCCGCCCGCCTCCCCCGAAGGACCTTTGTCCTGCACCCCTAGGCTGTCCAGCTCGCGCGCCCAGGGCGGTGCGAACGAGCATGCCCAGCCTTCCAAGCAGGCAAACACTCACCACCTTCAACATGACAAGGAGCTACCTCACCGCTATTCTACCAGCACGCTGCCCTCCTAGGGGGCTTCCCGAGGGCCGCGAGGCCAAGCGTAGCCGGGGCGGCAGCGCACCCTAACGCCGCCAGGTGCGAGGGACGTGGGGGTGGGGGGGAGAAGCGAAGGGAGGAGAGCGCCTGGGCCCCAAGCGCGCAGGCGCCCCAAGCGCGCAGGCGCATCCGCGAGCGCAGCGCCCAGTGGTCGAGTCCTTTTCTAGTAATTTCGCTGGCCATGACGTCATCACACCGCGCCGCCAGTGCCTCCCTGAAGCAAATTTTTTTTTTTCGGGGGGGGGAAGAGGGGAAGGAAACTCACTTATCTTGTTCCGCTTTACTGTGTGCGAACCCGCACGTCAGGGGTGAGAAACGAAAGGACACAAAGCGAACTCGAAGCGATGCGGGGAAGGGGACCGGCGTCGCCGAGTCATCCCGCCCGACGCGTTACCCGGCGTGCCCTGCGCGGCGCCGGCGGCGTGGGGGAGGGGGTGGAGGAAGCCGCGGCGGTGCGGATGTCGCGACGGGAGATCTGCGCCTGAGCACCGGCGGCTGCGAGCGCCCGCGCCGGCCTGTGCCGGGAGCCCGCCCGAGGTCCGCGGCCCCCTGGGCGGCTCTGCACCCGTTACCACTGAGGCCGTGTGTCCTGCACTCCCCGCCGCCCGGACCGGCCGGCTCCGGCGTCTTCTGGCTCCCGTTCGCTCAACCCGCTCCCTCCTGCTCGCCTGAGTCACCGCCGCCGCCATGGCCGAGAGTGGAGAAAGCGGCGGCCCTCAGGGCTCCCCGGACAGCGCGGCCGAGGGTGCCGGCGCCCCCGCGGCCGCCGCCGCCGAGCCCAAGATCATGAAAGTCACGGTGAAGACCCCGAAGGAGAAGGAGGAGTTCGCCGTGCCCGAGAACAGTTCCGTCCAGCAGGTGAGGCCGCCTCGGCTCGGCTCGGGACAACGCCGGAGACGGTTTGGGAAGGGCCTGGAGAGAGTCGGTCCCGAGGCTGACCTCAGCCATTTTCCTTGCTCTCGCCCTGAATGAAGTCGCTCCTAAGTTGGCGGGGTTCACCCCTGTGGACGCCCGTCCGTGGCGGGGCCGCGCGGCCTGCCGAGCCGCGGTCGCCTCGCCCCGACCCTTCGGTGTCCCCGGAACCCCCCCCGGTCGCTTCCCTTCCAGCTCCTCACAAAGGAAAGGGCCCCACGGACTGGCTGCGGCCCCGGGCGGAGGCCGGGGTTCGCCTTAGCCAGGGCTGCGGGGTTGTTTGATGATGGGGGGGGGAGGAGATGGTGGTGGTGGGGTGCTCATTGTTTTACCTGCCTGCGGGGTTGGGGGTGAAATGCATTTGCACATTTAGTTCTGCCTTCTGAATGCTGAAAGCTTGCTTTCCAACCTTATATAAAAAAAAAATTACCCGTGACGTAGAAATTATTTTCAGTCTATTATCCTAATAGTACTAGGCACAAGAGGAAAAGTGAATGACTTTGATTCATTGATGACTTGCTGTTTCGTTTTTACTATATTTGCCTTCTCTTAGGTGCCAGTCCTTTGGGTGGATTTTTGTTTGATTTTTTTTTTTTAAAGAGGGATAGGCGACGTTAGTAGATGTTAGCAGTTTGCAGCCAAATGAAAGAAAAGAAAGTTGATGTTAACCAAATATTACTGCTGAAAGCCTGTTTAGGATTTACAGCACATTAGGAATCTTGATGGAATTGAGCAACTTCTATAGTTTGTTGTTGAGTACATATCCTGGAATGTTTTCAGTAATTATCGACTTGATCTGTGACAATCTCAGTTTATATGTGGAAGCAGTTAACAATTAAAGAAATGTAATTGTTTAAGTTTTTGTGGAGTTTATTTAGTTCCAAAGGCGGGGTGTTTCATGAAGTGGAATGGTGTGAGAAAAACCTTTCATCGTCAAATTATTACTCATGTCTCTCAATGTTTTTACAAAAGTTTTCCTGAAAATTTTTATTTTCCAGTATATGGAAGTTGAAAGAATTGAACAGTGAAAGATCATCTGTATGCCCATCTCCTACGGTTAATATTTTTCTGCATATGGTTCATCTTAATTCATACTTCTACATTTCAGGGTTGCAAATATCAGTGTGTTAACCTTAAAAGACATTTCAGTAATGTGCATGTAATTAGCTGAACTCAACTTTCTTTACTTATTTATTTAGTAAATTGCCACCTAGTGAAACACATGTTTGCCATTCTAAGATTTAATAATTTTTGCACTTCTGTCACTCAAGCTCTTAATAAGGTGTAGAGTGATATAATTGACTATATAATTGTTCTCCTCTTGCCTTTTTCCATGTTGTTTCAGTCAGTGATTTTTTTTTCCCACCAGAGCTTAGATTTGCCTGCTCTAGAACAGGTCACATAGTATGTATTGGTTTTTGTATACTCTTCTTTGTTTTTTTAAATTGTGCGGGATTTTTATCCTTTTGTATGCCTATCTAACTCAGGGACTTGCATACTAGGCCTATGCTCTACCACTTGACTACAGCCCCAGTCCAATATTTGTTTTATTGCCATGTGTTTTTCCACATTCAGTCTTGAGGGTCACCAGTTTTCAGCTGTTTTTATTTCAGTTAGCAGTCTTGTACAGGTTCTTTTGGGAACATATGTTTTTTTTTTCCTACATTTTAACATTTTTTATTATTACTGTCTTTAAGTAGTTGGACAAAGAAGTTCCCATTCTAGGGAACATAGGCTTTTATGTCCATAGTCATACTTACAAGTGGAATGAATCAGTGATGGGGCTGGTTAGTGTTTATTTAGTTTTTTAGTGCTGTTTCATAAATTCCATCTATGTATAGGTGTTCCTATTACTCCATGTCCTTGCTAAGATTTCATATTATCAGTGTTTTTAATTTTAATTGTTTTGTGAAGTCACATTAAGTTTAGAAGCCCTTGGTTCTTTCTAGGATTCCTACTGTAGGCTTCCACCATCCTGGCTGCTTTCAGCATTTTACAAAAAAAGATGAACTACTTTTTTTAAAAAAGAAAAAAATTGCTTATTAAGGTTTTTTGTTTGTTTTTGTTGTTTTTTTAGCTTACATTAGTCATACGGGGAGGAGAATTTTACTGCTAACATTTCCTCTTGTGGAGCTTCCGTGTAACTGGGGCTTTGGGGCTTGAACTCAGTGTGGGCTGTCAGCTTTTCCTCTCATGGATGGTGTTCTGCCACTTGAGCCTTACTTCCAGCTTTTTTTCCCCCTGGTTACTTTATTTGCCTGGCCTCCTGAAGAGATAGTAGGTTTATTGGTGTCTAGCTCCATGTAGCATGCTCTTTCTCTCTCTCTCTCTCTCTCTCTCTCTCTCTCTCTCCCCCTCTCTCCCTCTCTCCCTCTCTCCCTCTCTCCCTCTCCCCCGCCCCCCCTGTCTCTCCTACTGAGGTTTGAACTCAGAGCCTGGGTACTGTCCTTTGGTTTTTTATGTTGAAGAAGCAGGAGCTCTACCACTTGAGCTAGGTCCACTTCTGCCTTTTTTCTGGTTAATTGAAGATATTTTCACAGACTTGCCTGCCTTGGCTGGTTTTGAACTGTGATGTTCGGGTATCAGACTCCTAAGTAGCTAAGATTACAGGCATGAGCAACTAGCACCAGGCTTTCATAGCTCCTTCTTTATTGCCAAATAACATGCCTTTGTATGGATTCTCCATCATTTGATGTATATTGGTTCTGTTTGTTTGATTGTTGCACACACCTGGCTCTCTACCACTTGAACCACACCTCTACTTCCAGCTTTTTGATGATTAATTGGGCCAGGCACCTGTGGCTAACACCTGTAATCGTAGCTACTCACAAGGCTGAGATCTGAGTGAGGATTGCAGTTCCAAGCCAGCCTGGGAGGGCAGGAAAGTCCTTGAGACTTATTTTCAGTTAACCACCAGAAAACTTGAAGTAGACCTGTGGCTCTCAGTGGTAGAGTACTAGCCTTACGTAAAAATTGCTCAAGAACAGCGCCCTGGCCCTTAGTTCAAGCCCCACAACAACAAGTCTCTCTGATTATCTGCTTCAGCTAATTTTGAACTTTGATCATCAGTCTCCTGAGTCACTTGGGATTATGGCATGAACCATTGGTGCCTCGCTTATTTCTGCTTTTCAGCTATTACAAATATACTTATATATACTTTTTGCTGTTGTTGTTGTTGGTGGTGGGTCTAGCCTGGGCACTGTCCCTGACCTTTTTTGCTCAAGGCTAGTGCTCTACCACTTTGAGCAACAGTACCACTTCCAGTTTTCTAGTGGTTTGGAGATAAGAGAAATGGACTTTCCCTCCCAGGCTGGTTTCCAGAGATAAGAGAAATGGACTTTACTGTCATCCAGGTGTAATCCTCAGATCTCAGCCTCCTGAGTATTTAGGATTATAGGCAGTGTGAGGCAGTGGTGCCCAACTCATTCATAAATTTTTGTGTGGACATAATGTCTTCATTTTGCTGAGTGTATACCTAGGAGTGGAATTGCTGGGTTACATGGTAGCTCTTTGTTTAACTTTTTGAAGAACTGCCAAACTACTTTCCCAAGTGACTATATACCATTTTACATTTATCTCCAGCATGCATGAGGATTCCAGTTACCACATTTTCACTAACACTTGTTACTTTTTTTTTTTTTGTAGCCCTCTTAGTTGCATATGGTATTTTCTTTGCTTCTTATTGCTACTTGAGTAATGCTCTTATTGTAGTCTGGGGGGTCTCTAATACCATTTTAACCATGAGATCAAACTACTTTGATAAGAATTTTCATGGGGCTGGGAAGATGGCTCAGTGGTAGAGCGCTTGCCTTGCATGCCTGAGGCCTGGGTTCGATTCCTCAGCACCACATAAGCAAAAAGAAAAAAGCCGGAAGTGGTGCTATAGCTCAAGTGGTAGAGCGCTAGCCTTGAGCTGAAGAGCTGAGGGACAGCACTCAAGCCTAGAGTTCAGGTCCCACGACTGGACCCCCAAAAAAATAAAAAATAAAAGAATTTTCATATAATCATATCTTTCCATCTAATTGTCTGAAAAATGAGCAGTGCACTTTGGCAGAGGTTTTTTTTTTTTTTTTAAATTGTGAAAATACCATACCAGAGGGGTTCAATTACATGGGCAAGGTAATGAGTACATTTCTTATCAAGCTTTGTTGCCTCCTCCTTTGTTTCCTCTTCCAATCCCTGCCCATCGCGACCCCCCCCCAAAGTTGTAAAATTTGTTTTTCAACATAACATCTTGTACATCTCATTGTTGCAATGGGTGTCAGAGGTTTTTAAAAGGTGCGATAACTGCAGCATATATAACCTGTCATTTATATGAGACGATGAGTGATTTGCAAACATTTAGAACTGCTATTCTCATTACTGTTTTTTCAGAAGAATACTAAGAAATGGTGATTTTTTTCTAGGTAATATTTTTCAAATAATTTTTAAGTTTTAATTTCCACTGCAGTAAAGATCAGTGGGTAAAACTTAAGTTCTGAATTTGAAATGATGTCCTGAGACCAAAAATAGTTGTAGAGTATTTAATAGTGGAGTATTTAATAAGTAGGTACTTACAAGAGGACTAACTACTAAGTTGCCATTATTAGACTAGAAATTATAGTAACCTTCTGCCAGTCTCCCTATTTACATATACGTCTCATTCTCCCTATTTATTCATTGAATAATACATGAAATTATTAATCAGATCATGTCACTGAATAAAAATAATGGCTTCTCTTTGATCTTAGCATCTGTTATTTGGTAGTGAGGCCCTATGCGGTAGCTCTGGCCTACATCTCCATTCTCTGCTGATTTCTTCTTGCTCTCGTTTACTGCATTTTTATAGTTCCTTGCCTGTTAAATTTCATTGTTCTCCTGCCTCGGAACATTTGTACAGCTTGTTCTTACTACTTGGCTTGCCTCCCAATCTTTGTTAGGTCCCACTGATCCTTTAAATCACAGTG